CCATAAGGATTCTGGTTGGCGTATAGTCCCCGGACGGTGTCATGAACGAGTACCACATCTGGCAGGATGGATGCAGTGGCAACTGCCAATAACCTTTCAGCCAGTCCAACGTGAAAAACACGTTCATGCCAATCAAAGTCGCCATCGCCGCGTCCAGGTTCGGCATCGGCCACGGCATGGGGATCGTCCACGCGTTGATCGGGCGAGAGTCGATGGTCATTCGATATTCGCCCGGGGCTTTCTTGGCGACAATCCGCGGCGCTGCCGCCCATGTCGCACGGTTGTTGCGGTAGACGAGGCCTGCGGCCTCGAGCTCTTCCACATGCTGTTTCAAATACTCCATGTGAGCCGGCGGGTACCGGCGCAACGCACACTTCACGGGCACCGCTCCTTCCTACAGCCGTACTTTCAACGGCTCGACATCCACTGGCAAGTCTTGCCCAAACTCCAGGCGAAAGACATCGGCGTGATCATCCAAAATACGCCGGAATTCGCTTTCATGCGCAGGGGAGAGGCCAAGCTGGATGGCCTCGGCAATCTTGCCGTCGAGAATGCGCTTTATCTCGCCGTCTTGGTCGGCGGGCTTCTCCATTGCTGGAGTGGAACACGCCACGTCCTCGGCGTACAATGCATCTTCGGGGTCTTCCTGGAACGCCTCTTGCAGCCGCTTCACCTTTGCCGACGTCTGGTCGGCATCTCCCGCTTCGGCCATATCCCAGACTCGACGCTGCTTCAACGAGTCGACAAGCATGCCGTCGACTGAAAACCCCAGTCGCTCCATAACGGGACGCCCAATGAGAACGTCGATCTCCATCCTCTTTTCTTCGACCCACGCTCGAAGTCCACGCAATACCAGGCGGCCGATTGCCGTCTCCAACGTCACCGTCTTGAACTGCACTTGCCGTGTCACATGGAGAGGCTTGGTTGTCTCTCCATACGGCTTTAACATGAGCCTTGGCTTTGTCTCGACGTTGAGACTTGCTCCAAGGCGATCCAGCGCCACGAGTAGGCCTTCCGACACCAACGTCTCGTCGGACCCAGAGTCCAGCAACACTTTAGGAAGCGTGAGAACGTCCTCGATCGACGCTTGGCACTCCATGCTGTTCGCAGGCTTCGTGCTCGACACGAAGTTCACCGACCGACGGCGCGCCTGATGGAAGTCGTCGGTCAACTTCTTTACCTCAGCATCTGTAATGCCAGGGTGTTCTCGCACTCGGTGTGCCGTCGACTGACACTTCAGGCACTTGGGCTTCGGCCGCTCTGGCGGCTCGTCTCTTTTGTTGGCACGCCAAGTAGGAGGCGCGACAGACGCGCCACTGGGCCGCTTTTCTTCAGGGACTGGGCTGAAACGTAGACGAGGCCGCGAGTTTTCCTTGCGCGGCTCCTCTGCCGGCGCCTTCGAAGGTCTTTCTTCGTCCATGCCGCCATACAGCTGGTACCCAATGGCGAATTGCCGCAGCCACTTGACGTAGCGAAAACGTCTGACTTGAGCACTTTGTTCCGCTGCAGTTGCACCTGCTTCGTCACGGCCAGCTGGAGCGGTGCTGGCTTGATCGCTTTGGTGATGATTCCCACCACCAACTTCCCCTCCTGATGGAGTACCCATTCTTGGCCGTCCGCCTCGAGGGTTTTCATCAATTTGTCGAGCATTCGACTCACTTGACTATCGGCGTCGAGAATCTTGGTGTCGAACTGTACGGCCACCTGAAGGCGCTTCTTCAGCACGTCCAACTCAACGGGTTCTTCATCGTGGGCCTCCATGAACCAGGACACCCACTCGTCTTCTGTCATATCGTCATGTGACTCCCCAAAGTCAAACATAGCGATGCGTCGCTTTGAAAACAGGTCCATACACGCGCCGATTGGCATCAAAAACGGACGTTGGCCCGTTGATTGCAGTGCCATGATTTGCGACGTGTATCGCTGGTATTCTCGCATAAACGCACGATGCTCCGCTTTCGTCGATCCCTTGAAAGAGGGTGGCAACGG